GTGTGTGTGTGTGTGTAGTGGGGTCAGGGAGGTAGGCAAAAGTCTCCACAGCTCACAGCCCACTGAAAACAGTTGTTTCCATGGGAAGTAGGATTCTTCATGGAGAAGTGGGCAGAGGCTGTCTTGGGGACCAAGGGCAGGTTGGGTTTAGAGGTGGAGGAGGCTTGCTCTTCTGAGCCGGGCACAGGCATCAGGCACATGCTCCGCTTACACCCGGGAGGCCGCTGTGGGGGCATAGGAGCAGAGAGCAGGTCCAGTCTAGGTTCACATTGATCTGTGCCGAGAAACTGCTGCTTTCACCTCACTTATCAGGGATTCCTGGAAAACAGGACTTTGTACGCATTCCTGGGTGTTTTCCAGTGACTGCTCTAAGACCTGCGTGGTTGGACTGTATCACCTCCTAAGGTTCAGTATGGAAACTAGTCATGCCAGTTCTGTCACCACCTACCTCCTCTGAACCACAATATGATCCTGGGCTGGACAGAGACCAGCCTTTTCCCCTGGGCCAGGCAGGCCAATAGAACTTTATTCTGAGAGAAGGAATCATGAAACAACTCTGAGTGCCCTGACAGCACACTGTGGATGCTCAGAAGAGCAGTCAGCTCTAGCCACTGTGAAGCTGCCCCCGTGAGGAGCCACCATCCCTCCCAGCAGCATAGCCCAGGAGGCCACACCAGGGCAGCCTCACCTCCTGATGGCTGACTGCAAGTCCTCCAGGTCAGGAACGTCACCTAGCATCTGCAGCTGATTGCACAGCTGCCTCCTCACTGATAAGCCCATGTGGCTTACCTCTGAGCAGTTGTTCTTTAGAAAAGGAAAGCACGAAGGTACGACCCAGTAGGCAAGACTGCTGCTCCCATCCTCTCTGCACTGAGCCCAGCAGGCTAGCAACTGTGTTGGTGTGTAGGGCTCCTTCCCAGCCTGCCATGGTGACAGGCCGCCCTCTGTAACAGCACCTGGCTATGCATGGCCTTGAGAGGACCAGGTTCTGGCTGCCTATGCCGGGGCAGGGAGGATTTAGGAGGGTACTGCTTTCCATTTGCAGACAGGTTTATCAGTATCTGACCACGTTCCTGCCTACGTTGAGGCCATTTGCCAAACAGTTCTGCTGCTGGAAATTCACTTCCTTTAGGTGGACTCTGCTTCTATGGTTAGGGGAAGCAGGGAAAGTGCCTTGTCCTGGGCTCACCATAATCTCCTAGGCTTCCTTGGGCTCCTAGGTACCTGGGGTACACACCAACGAGCCCTGTTCTCATTCCAGTTTTCCCTTTTCCTGGCTGTTTATGTCCCCACTAACCCACTACATCTAAGACAGAAAGCCAGGAGCCATCATCCCCAACTACCTCGAAATGCTCATCAAGCCTTGTTATTGTTTTCACTAAAGCGCTGCTGGCAGACCCCTTGCTTTCCATCCATTTGTCACTGTCCTAGTTCAGGTCTTAACACATCTTCCTTGGACGGTTTCATTGGCCTCTAGCTGATCTTTTCTGTTCAGAGGGGATCCTGTCACTCCCTTAAGTAGAGACCTTCAGTGGATCCCTTTTGCCTAATAGCCAAACATCAAAGTTCCTTAGCATGGCATTCAGGGCTCTTCATAGTTGAGCCTAACCTTCCTCTCCAGCCCTGGCATTTTTGATGGCTCTGCTGTTCCCATGCTGATCTCCCTCTAGCCTGAGACAGCACATGGGGCTACTGAGCCTGCCTCTACACCTGCCTCCCAGCACTAGCCCCATCCATCTGCCCACAGTGACTGTCTCATGCTCCTTCCCTGTCCAGAGACTGACTCATGCTTTAGACTTGACTCAATCTCCACTTTACTGTACCTCTCTCCTCCCACTGGAAGGAATTGTTCCCTCTTGTGCATCTTTCATACATGGTTCATACATCCATCATGCCTTTTGTATTAAATGACAGCTGGTTCTCTCCCTCTGCCCCTCGTGCTCCATCTCTCCCTCCCCTCTTATATATATGCAGACATACATGTGTATATGCACCCATATGTATGTATATCACACAAGTATTTATTGAGTGCACCATGCTAGGTACAATGAGAAACCAAAATCAATCTGAGCCCTCCTTTACAGAGCTTGTAGTCTAGCAAATATTGTAATGTCCCCATTACACTGTGAGTTTCTTAGGGATAAAGATCATCTGTACCCTTGCTGCCCACCACTGTCCCTGGCACACAGTGGCTACTTGCTCCATGAATGTTCACAAGGTGAACTCCAGTGGGCAGAGAAAGATGCCAATGTAGAGAACAGGTGACAGGGTAGATGGATGTCTTCTGGGTAGAAGGTAAGTGGGCAATCTGGAAAAGTCATGTTCTGCTATCAGTTCCTAAAGGGCAGCCTGTGTTTTAAATATGTAGTTAGCCCATTCATATGGAACCATCATCTAGGAACCAGGAGGCAAATTTTGGGGGTCAATCTAAATTTTTATGCAGATAACCCAAAGAAGTTTGTTCCTTTTGAAGTGTGTGCAGAAAGCTCTCCCAGCCGCACCTGACCCCTCCATGGGCCCATCCCCCATGCCATGAACCGGCTCGGTTGGGGAGACGGTTTGGGGCCCGGCCGCCCTACCACATGCTGCCCTTTGTTTCTTCAGAGATCTGAAACTGGACAATGTACTGTTGGATCATGAGGGTCACTGTAAACTGGCTGACTTTGGAATGTGCAAGGAGGGGATTCTGCTTTCACCTCACTTATCAGGGATTCCTGGAAAACAGGACTTTGTACGCATTCCTGGGTGTTTTCCAGTGACTGCTCTAAGACCTGCGTGGTTGGACTGTATCACCTCCTAAGGTTCAGTATGGAAACTAGTCATGCCAGTTCTGTCACCACCTACCTCCTCTGAACCACAATATGATCCTGGGCTGGACAGAGACCAGCCTTTTCCCCTGGGCCAGGCAGGCCAATAGAACTTTATTCTGAGAGAAGGAATCATGAAACAACTCTGAGTGCCCTGACAGCACACTGTGGATGCTCAGAAGAGCAGTCAGCTCTAGCCACTGTGAAGCTGCCCCCGTGAGGAGCCACCATCCCTCCCAGCAGCATAGCCCAGGAGGCCACACCAGGGCAGCCTCACCTCCTGATGGCTGACTGCAAGTCCTCCAGGTCAGGAACGTCACCTAGCATCTGCAGCTGATTGCACAGCTGCCTCCTCACTGATAAGCCCATGTGGCTTACCTCTGAGCAGTTGTTCTTTAGAAAAGGAAAGCACGAAGGTACGACCCAGTAGGCAAGACTGCTGCTCCCATCCTCTCTGCACTGAGCCCAGCAGGCTAGCAACTGTGTTGGTGTGTAGGGCTCCTTCCCAGCCTGCCATGGTGACAGGCCGCCCTCTGTAACAGCACCTGGCTATGCATGGCCTTGAGAGGACCAGGTTCTGGCTGCCTATGCCGGGGCAGGGAGGATTTAGGAGGGTACTGCTTTCCATTTGCAGACAGGTTTATCAGTATCTGACCACGTTCCTGCCTACGTTGAGGCCATTTGCCAAACAGTTCTGCTGCTGGAAATTCACTTCCTTTAGGTGGACTCTGCTTCTATGGTTAGGGGAAGCAGGGAAAGTGCCTTGTCCTGGGCTCACCATAATCTCCTAGGCTTCCTTGGGCTCCTAGGTACCTGGGGTACACACCAACGAGCCCTGTTCTCATTCCAGTTTTCCCTTTTCCTGGCTGTTTATGTCCCCACTAACCCACTACATCTAAGACAGAAAGCCAGGAGCCATCATCCCCAACTACCTCGAAATGCTCATCAAGCCTTGTTATTGTTTTCACTAAAGCGCTGCTGGCAGACCCCTTGCTTTCCATCCATTTGTCACTGTCCTAGTTCAGGTCTTAACACATCTTCCTTGGACGGTTTCATTGGCCTCTAGCTGATCTTTTCTGTTCAGAGGGGATCCTGTCACTCCCTTAAGTAGAGACCTTCAGTGGATCCCTTTTGCCTAATAGCCAAACATCAAAGTTCCTTAGCATGGCATTCAGGGCTCTTCATAGTTGAGCCTAACCTTCCTCTCCAGCCCTGGCATTTTTGATGGCTCTGCTGTTCCCATGCTGATCTCCCTCTAGCCTGAGACAGCACATGGGGCTACTGAGCCTGCCTCTACACCTGCCTCCCAGCACTAGCCCCATCCATCTGCCCACAGTGACTGTCTCATGCTCCTTCCCTGTCCAGAGACTGACTCATGCTTTAGACTTGACTCAATCTCCACTTTACTGTACCTCTCTCCTCCCACTGGAAGGAATTGTTCCCTCTTGTGCATCTTTCATACATGGTTCATACATCCATCATGCCTTTTGTATTAAATGACAGCTGGTTCTCTCCCTCTGCCCCTCGTGCTCCATCTCTCCCTCCCCTCTTATATATATGCAGACATACATGTGTATATGCACCCATATGTATGTATATCACACAAGTATTTATTGAGTGCACCATGCTAGGTACAATGAGAAACCAAAATCAATCTGAGCCCTCCTTTACAGAGCTTGTAGTCTAGCAAATATTGTAATGTCCCCATTACACTGTGAGTTTCTTAGGGATAAAGATCATCTGTACCCTTGCTGCCCACCACTGTCCCTGGCACACAGTGGCTACTTGCTCCATGAATGTTCACAAGGTGAACTCCAGTGGGCAGAGAAAGATGCCAATGTAGAGAACAGGTGACAGGGTAGATGGATGTCTTCTGGGTAGAAGGTAAGTGGGCAATCTGGAAAAGTCATGTTCTGCTATCAGTTCCTAAAGGGCAGCCTGTGTTTTAAATATGTAGTTAGCCCATTCATATGGAACCATCATCTAGGAACCAGGAGGCAAATTTTGGGGGTCAATCTAAATTTTTATGCAGATAACCCAAAGAAGTTTGTTCCTTTTGAAGTGTGTGCAGAAAGCTCTCCCAGCCGCACCTGACCCCTCCATGGGCCCATCCCCCATGCCATGAACCGGCTTGGTTGGGGAGACGGTTTGGGGCCCGGCCGCCCTACCACATGCTGCCCTTTGTTTCTTCAGAGATCTGAAACTGGACAATGTACTGTTGGATCATGAGGGTCACTGTAAACTGGCTGACTTTGGAATGTGCAAGGAGGGGATCTGTAACGGAGTCACCACAGCCACCTTCTGTGGCACGCCCGACTATATTGCCCCAGAGGTGAGTGCGATGGCTTGAGCAGCTTTGGAAATCTGAGTTCTATAGTAACCCTAATCAGAAACGCCACAGACTGGTTTTGTGTGCTTCAGCTTTGTAGGGCTGAAAGCTGACGCCTCCAGGCTCCTTTATGGCTTATTGGGTGAATGATGGCTGAAAATGTTCTCAGTTTCCCTAGATAAGAATTTGACTGAAAAAAATGTTTGTAAAGCTTACAGTTGCTTTAGGCTTTAGCCTGAATGGGGACAAAGTGTGCTACACTCACAGCTATTTAATTTTCCTGTTTGTCTCCACTCAGTCCTCTGATCCCAGCCCCATTTAGTAGAAATAAAGAAAAGCTCTTGAGTCTTTCCCACATGAGTAAGTGACCCAATCTTCCCTTCCTTTCTGATTTGGATCTGCACATGCCATTACCTTGGCTTGCGCAAGCCACAAATGTTTGGTTAACTTAGTAAGAAGGCCTCTGAACTACCACAGGAAAAACAGATCATTCTCAAGAAATGGAATGAAACATACATACCAGCAGCCCAGGAAACACCTTTTTTTTTTACGTTGGTATTTCCTAATCCAAATTTTTCATAGTCACATTTGTTAATCAGATGCACATGCACATCTCACCTTGTTCCCTTTATACAGATCCTCCAGGAAATGCTCTATGGCCCTGCCGTAGACTGGTGGGCAATGGGTGTGTTGCTATACGAGATGCTGTGTGGTCACGCGCCCTTCGAAGCAGAGAATGAAGATGACCTCTTTGAGGCCATACTGAATGATGAAGTGGTCTACCCCACCTGGCTCCATGAAGATGCCACAGGGATCCTGAAATCTGTAAGTTTGGCTTAGCCAGCTTTCCGCCTCCTGCAAAGCAGCTTACCATATATGCTTCTTGTGTTTTTTAATACCTTCCACCACTAAGCTACCAGCTCTAACTGAAATATGTGTTTTAATCTGTAGAACCAAAGAACCAGAGTTCTCTCAAGGTTTCCTCACTTATGCAATAGTTATTTCTGGCCCAACTGTAATAGCGGTTGATAGCGCTGTCTGTCAAACATCAAGTATTTCTAGCAGTGTGGCATTAGGTGAAGTGATGTGTCCCTTCAATCAGGACACCCAGGTATTGGGTCACATGAATGCCATTCTAGTTTGTGATGATATTGTGTTTCTGTCAGTAATGTCCAGGCAGCAGGACAAAGGGGCCTTTCCCTTATTGCTGGAAGAGAAGAAAGGTTTTCCAAACCTCTGCAGATCTCTTTTGCTCCCATTTTATCCTTATGCCAGCCAGGTGCCAGGCCCGGGATTCAGATGCAATGAGGTAGTGCAGCATGTTGAAAAGTCTTTTTGCACTTAAAGTGTTGTGCTGGAAGCCTTATTTTGAAGTGAGGAAGAAACAAGGATTTGATGCTTTTATGTTGAAAATAAGAAAGCACATGTAATTTGGGTCAGAAAGTCATTTCTTCAAGTAGCGAAAAATTGGAACAATCCTTCTGTTAGATAGTTTCTATGGGATAAGAATTACTTTTCTCAAGTTATATCTTTTTCAGTAAGTTGAGACAAAAAAACAAAATTTGGGAAATATCTGCTGTCTTGTTGAAAGCCTTGTCTGTCTTTAGAAATCCCTAGTCATAATCAGCAGCATTTCAAGAACATTTTGTAGGGAGGTCACTGTGTACTGGAACTGAAGGCATGATTGTCCCTGAGAATTCTCCACATCACTAAAAGAGCAAAAAACAGAGAAATCCTCCTCAGGCAAATATTGCCAAAGTGAATCATAATTTATAACATTATTCTCAAGTTTAGCCACCAGTACTCTCCTGATGTTGAGGAGGCATGAATCTCATGTATAAATAAAAGTGAAGTACTTTCGGATTCTACTGGATGTCTCCTATCTAGCATATTTCCATAAGAACGCTTTACTTGTACAGTTAGTAGAAAATTTAGACTAAGGAAACCAAGTTATAATTTTATGAATAACCAAGGAGAATGACCTATCTTGGTGGACTTGTGCCCCAAAGTTTCTTAACTTCTGGAAGGGAAGTGTCCTCACCGAGGTTGGCCCAGCCAACTACAATGGCCCATGCTGTGATAACGTTACCTGATCATGCTATGGAGTCAAGCATATTTTGCATTATCACTTTCCCAGTTCCATGGTCTAGAATCTTGTTCTTTGTGATTCCCAAGGCACACTAACCCCCTATGCTTGCAGCAACCACTGTCATTATACTAATAGTTTTTCATGGTGTACATATTTAGTCCAATTACCATAGCCGATTAACATTTTTAATACTTAAAAGAAGGACCCCAGAGTTTATAATTCAAATGAAAATGCTAGTTGCATCCGTAAGGAAATGTTCATTGTTGGCCTTGGGGTATGAAGGTCATTATGCTTGCTGCCAGGGAGGGTAGGAAATACAGGTCAGTCTGCCCCTCAAGGAACTTTAATGGTCTCTATTTAGAGATTAGATTAACAAGCCAGTTCAGTGTTTCTCTGATAAGTATACCATACCTTTGAATCTCAATCCATTAGAAATCCTAAGAAGTTGGACATACTAACATCTGCTGCTCTTGTGGGTTTTGTTTTTTTTTTCAAATATTTAGAAGTCTTCAACCTCATCCTCATATTTCAGAATCTTCATTAGAGAGATTTTTCCACCTAAATCTGGAACCTAGATCTCAGCCCCCTTACCAATTCTTATAAAACCTGCAATTTGTACTAAGCAAGGTTAAGGTCTATATGGAACTATGAGGACAGTTTATTCTTAACCAGATAAATCCAATAACTTTAAACTGTATTCTTGGTATCTGTAATAATACGTTATCCAGTAAAATCTTCCCTCCATAGTCTTCATTCTGGGAGAAAACAGAGTCTCTGGTGCCTAAAGAGAATCTAATCTTTAGTGGAGACTGAGTTTTCTCTCCTTGCCGATTCTACTCCTGGGAAGTGGTGGGCCTCTTCCCTTCCCTTCCCTCCCCTTCATTTCCCTTTCTAACAGCGGCTGCTCAGCTGGACAGAGCCGATAATGGAGCTCCGGGCGGCGCCACCACTGGCCTTGCTCTCCTCCTGCTGGTGCCCCACCCCCACCCCCGTGTGCTCGATGGGCATCTCCCGTAGGAGGGGCCGTGGGCCTCTCTCACGGCAGACTTACCTCAGCTCCGTCACGTTCTGGCTGAGTGACCTCAGTGAGCTACCCACACCTCTCCAAAACTTGTCCGTGCTTGTAAATTGAGGTTAACGGAATCAATGTCATAGTTATTGTCTGGATTAAGTGAATAAATGCATGTAAACCACCCAAGAACACAATAAGCCTTCTGTGTCTTCCTCCTTCAAGGAGTATGCCTTCAAAGTGGTTTTCTGAAAACTCCTGAAAAGTTGTCACATAAAATTACTAGAAAACATTCACTGAGAAGATTTCAGGGGCAGTTTTGTGTATTTCAGCCTGCCTGCCTACAAATAAAAAGCTTTAATGCTATAGCTGAGGAGATTGAGCTCTTCTTTGCAAAGGCCCCGAGGCATTTGAATGGAAGTGTGAGCAAAGAAAAGAAACAGAATCTGTTTGAGAACACAGAGGAGAAACACGGAGGAGGAGCGGCATCAGGACACTGGGCACAGAATGGGGCTCAGGATGTGGCCAGTGCGTCATCAGTGAGAGCTGGGCACGGGAAACGATTTTTAGACTCGTTGCCCTTTTCTCTGAAAAATGACTACTTTTATTTTACTAGGAAGAGGGTTTAAGACATCAAGTCACACTCGACAAACCATTCAGACAACTTTCTGGCTTGAATTGCAGGTTGGTTTAATTAGATCAATGTAGTTCTTTTATTATTAGAAGAAATCTTGGACTGTCCATTCCATCCCCCTCATTTTATAGATGAAGAAACTGAGGCCCAGAGAAATTGTGACTCACCAAAGGCATTCAGCACATTACTTAAAATAAATTAGAACTCCTGTGCATGGCTCTTGGGAGTGTACCATGGTACAGCCACTGTGGAAAACAGTATGGCAGACAGTTCAACAAAAAAATTAAACATAGAGTTACCATACGATCTAGCAATTCCATTTCTGGATGTATATCCAAAAGAATTGAAAGCAAGGACTGGAACAGATATTTCTATGCTAATGTCCACAGCCACATTATTCACAGTATCTAAAACATAGATGCAATTCAAGGGTCCATCAACAAATGAAGATAAAATGTGGTATATACATATAATGGATTATTATGCAGCATTGAAAGGGAAGGATATTCTGATGCATGTTATGACATGAATGAACCTTAAAGATATTATGGTTAATGAAACAAGCCAAATACCAAAGGACAAATATATGATTCCACTTCTATGAGGTACCTGGAGTCATCAAATGCAGAGACAAAAAGCAAAATGGTACTTGCCAGAGGCTGGGGAGGGAGGTGGGGAGTCAGTGTTTGGGGTATAGAGCCTCAGTTTTGGAAGATGAAAAAGGTTCTTGGAGATGGATGGTGATGATTGTTGTACAACAGTGTGAATATATTCGATTTCCCTGAACTGTACACTTAAAAATGTAGGAAGTTTCTGTATATTATACCACAATTAAAAAAAAATCCCTGGGCAAGAATCCAAATTTTCCTGACTCCCAGTCCAGGATTCTGAGTTAAGACTACATCTGGACATTCCCTATTTTTCTTCCACTTCCCATGAATATGTGTCTTTTCCCCTTGGAACCCCACATTTTTAGCACTCAAATGACTCCCTGGTGTGATTCTTTCCTATCATACTAGAAACATTAGCCCCTGGAGGAAACTACTAACCAGGGAGCTATGTACTTACTGCACACACAGCACGGATCTGTCACCTGTTTAACTTTTAACTAATGAAGTAAGATATGTTTATAGTAATGTTAATAGTGCTGTTTAAAGACTGTGCATTTGAATAATGCCACAATGCCAGAAATAATTATCATTCTATCGAAGTAAGATGAGTCTGTGACCCTGGAAGGAGAAATTGATATATTAAGAAATTGAGTCCCTGTTCAACTCGGCACATCCTTGTCAGATGCCTTCCCTTTGCTTGGCCTGTGCTAAGTGCTGGGAATGCCAAAATGAAAAGACATGGCCACTTATGTTGCTCGCAGTCCAATAGGAATGAGAACATGTAAATGAATACTTAGCTCGCTGCCAAGGAGGAATGATCAGAACTCTCCCTGGGACAAGGACAAGAAAGGTGACATAAGGACAAGACAGAGGAAGTGCCATTTAAGCAGGGTGTTGAGGAACAAAGAGGGTTCTGTAGGGTTGACAGGAGTGGGAAGGGTATTTTAGGCAGAGGAAATAACTTGAGCAAGGCTTCAGAGGTGGGAAGTAGCATGCGTGTTCAAAGAACTGTAATTACCGTTCTACACTATTGGAGTGTTAGGTGCAGGGTGGGGGGCAGTGAAAGATGAGTTTACAAGTAAGAACTTGAGGGGTCAGGAAGAATTCAGAAAATGTTATATACCTTGAAGTGGCTCACATGAGTCCAGAACTTGGGGGAGAGGTTGGAGATGATCATGGTAGCATGGTCATGAGAATGTGTAAGTAGACACTGATGAGGGGAGAGGGTGAAGAGTAAAAGGAGGGTGCAGGATGGGCTGAGGCACACCAGTGGCTAAAGGACAGCAGTGGAAGAGGATTCAGTGAGGGTGGTAAGAAGGAATGGCTTCAACATGTCTACTAGTTTTACTTGTAGTGAAGTAGGCCAGTGGTTTTACAATATGGTTTTCCCAGTAATTGATGCCTGCAGTAACCTTTGAGTAGTGCTAAATAGGTAGGAACAAATGGTTCTAGGCCAGATGACCAAGAGCTTGGGGAATGTGT